GACGTGCAAGTCGGCGGTTGAGGCCGCGGGCTTTCTGTCGGCCTGCCGTTCTCGCCACACACGGTCGACATACCGTCCAGGATGGCCCAAGGATTCCATCGGCCCTTCGGGAGCAGGTGGCTTGGGGAGTTGCCTATAAAGCAGGGGCTCGACCACAAGAGACCTTCCACAGGAGACCCGACCCTGAGACCCCAGGACGTCCATTGGTTTTTGGCGTGGGAACATCACGCCCTCCATAGCAGAACCATCGAAACCCAAGAAACCCATGGCACCCTGGAGGCAAGCAGGGTGTTTCTTGGCATGGGCCTCCACTGTAGCGGCTGTAGCGTCGCTCCTGGTCCTGGCCGGGCGGCAACGTGGCAGTTGGCCTTCCTGGACGCGCCCCGCTCACCGTGAAGGAGAGGGGGGGCGCTGAGGGAAAGCGACCCTGAACCCAGGAGGAGGAGGAGGAGGAGGAGGAGGAGGAGGAGGAGGAGAAAGAGGAGGAGGAGGAGGAGAAGGAGGAGGAGGAGGAGAAAGAGGAGGAGGAGGAGGAGGAGGAGGAGGAGGAGGAGGAGGAGGAGGAGGAGGAGGAGCCCCCTCTTCCCCTTTGGGGGGGAGGGCTTTACCTCTCCCCCAATACCTCCCTCTCCCCGGGTCTGGCAGGGCCCGGCCGCGAAGGGCTGGAGCGCGGAAGGTGGGCCCAAGAAGGCCCTCAAAGGCCCAAACCAGCCAAAGATTTGTCGGTATCGGCATCGTTCAACCAATCCCCATCCCAGTCCCCATCCCCTTGGAGACCCCCACCAAGTTGCCACCCCAGTTGGGGATACACCCCTCGAAGCCCGAAGGGAACGACCTCTATATCCCCATCCAGGGGGGGTACGTCGGCCAGTGGGGCCCAAGACATGCCGCTGGGGATGGGGATCGGTTAAACGATACTGACCACATCCAGTGAATCGGGCAACCCATGCCATCAATCGTGCATTTTCGCGCAGCGAGGCGGTCGGGATAACCCAAACGACACACGGTCGGCCCGCGAGACGGTGGGCAGGCAGCGACCGACACCCCGCGAGAGCAAAGGGGGCCCAGCCAGCGACGGGGCGGTCGGGCACGCAGAAGGACGAAGGAAACGGGAACAGGCCGAGGGGCCAGGAGAGGGACAGCACGCCGTTCGGGGAGCTCGTGCTGGTGATCTCGATCGCGATACCGACGACGACGACGAGGATGAAAGCTGACGCGGCCGGTCGATGCAGACAGCGACGAAGACCTCCTGCTCTGCTCGTCTTCCTTCGCCCCAGGTGGCCCAAGATGGCCTTCACGCTCGCACATGGTAGCGCAAGATGGCTCAAGACAGCCTCCGGCATACCTCCAACAACCCCCAAGACCGCCACAAGACGGGTCCAAGCTGCCACGGGCCTTCCCAAAGACGCCCCCGAGAGGCCAGAATCCCTCCCAAAGCTGGGGGGAATCAGCGATGTGTGCCTCCTCTCTGTTTCGCTTCCAGTGGGCTTCTGAGGCCTCAAGATGGCCACAAGGAGGCCCAAGAGAGCCCCAAGAGGGCTCCAAGACGGCCCCAAGAGCACCCCTAGAGGCGATTCCGAGGCCTCCGAGGTGGGGAGAGCGCAATTAGCTGCCCAGAGATTCCCACATCGAAAGCTGGCCATCGCTCGGACGTCCATTTCCTGTGTTTTTGGTGTTTTTGTCGCCAAATGATCAAGGATGCTCCTCGATGGTCCTCGCCGACGGAAGAATGCACACGTCCGAGCGATGCCAAGAAAGATCCGCGGAGGCATTTACGGTTGACTCCTGGGCGTACTCTGGCCTCAGGCTGATCCCCATCTTCGGTTTGGCGGCTGCCCCCCTCTCTGTTTCGCTGCATGCTCCCACTCTTTCCTGATCAATGCAACTCGTCTGGGCACAGTTCCTGGATGGGCTGGTGGGGATACGCGAAGCGTCAATTACGGACATCTCTTTGACCGATGGCCTCCAACATTCCCCCAAAGAGAGCCCCAAGACAGTTACGCACCAGATGCATATCAGCAAGAGGCCACAAACTTGGCCGCTGCACGGAAAAATACAATCGGGCGCGCCGCCAGAATTACGGCGGCGCCGACATGTCTATGGAGAAACCGACATGTACCGCTGCTCCCCAGGACCTCTCCTAGGGTGCGTTCTGACCAGCATGTCGAGGCAAATCCAGCGGTGGCGACGAGGGTCTACCAGGAGGCCCCAAAATGGGAAAATGAGGCAAAGGTGCTCCGAGTTTCTTGATAAGCGTCGGGGTGGCGTCACCCCCGCCCACCGCCGCACATCGACCCCCGTCGCGGGCAGCCACCCCGCGCCGAAGGCGCTCCAACCCCCGTCGCGGCGCGACGACGAGGCGAGGTTGACCCCCGTCGGAGGGGTACCCC